CTGCTATCTAGGTACACTTTGTGGGAAAGCACAAAACACCGGATAAAAAGGATCAAATGGGGAAAAAGCTTGACAAGGAAAACTGCCTAAAACAAAACATTTCAAGCAGTTTGAAGCATGAGCTTTTAGATCTCGGTATTACTTGCACATATGTACATTATTGGAAACTTTAACCAAAGTTAAATATAATATAACATTTTGGGCAGTGTAAATCTGACTGAGAATAAGGAAGAGCACATTGAGTTCCCTTTTATCTTTCAGTCATGTAGATGCAGCACAAGATATTATGGGGGATATTTACAGAGGAGATGTAAGTGCTAGAACTAAAAATTGCATGTAGTATTGCACTGCGGTAAGACTTTATGAAGAAAGAAAATGGAAAATTCTGTATTTAGTGTCGTTTAGTCTTTATGTAAAAGTCTAGCGGGAGGTTATGTGTACATTTATGTGGCACATTATCTGCTTCATCATTCCTGAGTGACCGCTGTGGCAGAAACGTAGCAACTTACAAAAAGGACTGCTTTTATATCCACCAATCAGTGTGGTTTACAGTAAATGCTACATTTACCATCTATGCAGCTGTTTATCATCTCCATTCAATGCTTTTAGTGACTCTCTGAAACACACACACAAAAGCTGATTGTAATTTTGGAGGTTCTGCATCTTTCCCAAGGATTTGGAATTACCAGAACTGAGGATCCAGGGATCAGGATCCAGGGACCATTTGATTTCACTTGAGCAATTGAACAAGACATTCAAAGACATCCCTAATTTTGAGAAGCTACCCATTAAATAAGATTATTTAGATTTATCTAGATCTGCATATTTAACATACATTATGTGATAGGGTCAACTGTGTGTCTGCATCGTGATTCAGGATGTGTTGACAGTCACCTTAGTCAATTGAAGCAACTGAAGAGTTCGGGCCCCTGTCCTGTCAGTGTCCCATCAATATGGATACATAATCCAACATATCATAGTGCAGATTAAAACAAACCATCATTATTATTAATTATTTTATTGTAGCTTGGCCTGCTTTCCTCCTACTCTGGTACTTTTTGATGGAATATGTTGTCTCTAATAAACCGAATTTCACTTTCAGTCTGTTGAGGGGATTTCAGGAACACGCCCTTATGGGAAACATATGAAACCACACACTGCAATTACAAATGGATGATGCAGTTTGAGGGAAAACGGCCACAGCACAAGCTGTATTTACAACACCTCATCATGAAACGCCTCCAGGGGCCCAGTGATGGATACTGTGCTTTACACTGTGAGATGGCAAACTTTTTCTTTAAGGGTCAGCGTGTTGGAATGTTTTCTAGCACAAGGGATTGCAGAAAGCAAAAGAGAAATGGCATTTTTCCATCAGCTTATTCAGTTACACCTAGCTGCGTGGTAAAAATGGGAACCTTTGATTTAGCTACTTCATACTCCAAATGCCAAAGAAGCTGTCAGCCATGTTGATTTGACATTTGGCATAAGGAATCATGTCTTTTTAGATCAGAATTCACAAATTTCCAACTTCCAAGTTAAATAAATGTAACATCAGACCTGGTCTCTCCACACAGATAATGCAATGTAATTACTAGGGGTGCAACGATACTTGTATCGATATTGAACCGTTCGATACAGTGCTTTCGGTTCGGTACGCATATGTATCGAACAATACAAAAGTTTTAATTTATTTTATCAACTTTCCTTCTGACGATGCTGTCTGTGTTGAGCGCTCAGTGGATCTGCGCTCGACAGTGCGCCTAGGCGGAGTAGTCAAACGCAGAGTCACTGAGCGCAAGGCAAGCTAGCGAGACAGAAATTAAGCTCTGGTTGCAACATGGCAAATTGAACCTCCCCCACCCTCATTCAGATGTGGCGTTTGGAACTATTTTGGTTTTCATGTGACGTATGACCCTGAAGGTGCGTTATGGCGCGTTATGGACAAAAGTAAAACAGTATGTTGGATGTGCCACGCAATGCTCAATTGGTGGGAACTAGTGTGTTAGCGCAGTTTGCTCGTTAATGTGTTGGCCGTCCAGCCCCACACACAGGGCGATCCGCGGTAGCTCGTTAACGGAGATTTGCCGCGTTGTGGCGTTAACGTCATTTCAACTAGATTAACGCTGACAGCACTAGTGGGAACACAACGAATATGACTGCACATTTATTCCGACATCATCCTAGTGCAAAGACAAGTGGAAGCAGACAAAAACAACAAGCATGCATGCTACAAACTTTACCCGAGTCATTTAGACAGCCGTTAGCACATGATTCTCCTTATGGGGACCTGATATGTTTAATATGCTGCTGAGAATATAGCCCAGAAGAAGCGTATTGTACAGCTTTTATTTTGGAAAGAGCCATTTCTCTGTAATAAACTCTCTTTTCCAAAGATGAGTGATTTCTCGATCGATTATTTTTTGTATTACTTTGTTGTTTCAGCAACATTAAATTTAAAAACTGTTCTTTTGAGTTAAAATATATATTTATAATTTTAATAAATGACAAATTAAAATGGCATGAACATTTTTTTTGTATCGAAAAAATATCGAACCGTGACACCAAAGTATCAAACCGAACTGAACCGTGAATTTTGTGTATCGTTGCACCCCTAGTAATTACATGTACAGCTATTATAGTTTCAAAGTCACTCCTTAAAATCTTATTGACAATGAATATCATTTGTTTTCCATGTTGAACATATGCCACTTCAGGAATTCAGTCATTCCATAAAGTAGATTCTCTAAAGAATGAACAAAATAAAAATCTCAGGCCATAAATGATTCATATTAGCAGTATCTAAATAAATGACTCAGGCCGAGGGCTGAATATTTAGTATGAGAGGAACGGTTTCAATTTGCCCAGTAAATTAAACGGATTAAGAGTGCATTGACCCTCAACCGAGCCACACATACACACCCAGACACACAGAAAGCCTTTGCTGCACTGAAGGGAAGTCTGGTATAAAAAGGAATAAGAAAAAATTATATTCAGCGTATTGCAACATGTTTTTGAAATACAGTGCTATTTTAATTATATATTTTTTTACCGCTGCTATGATTCTGTGTTTGCATTTGAAACTATTTTAAGTTGTACAGTAATGAAGCTGTAGCTACATATAAAAATCAAAATTGTCTAACATCGTATGATGTATTCTTACAGATGAAGCTGCTCAGCTGTATGTAAGACACATTAATAAATCAGCAGGCTAATTAACATCCAATAATATATTACATGTTATTCTACTTAATCAGTACTTTTGCTTTAATAATTTTAAAGGTGCATTATTTATGATTTTTTTGGAAAAATGAAACAAAACTGTGACCACAAGGGGGCAGCATTTTACAAGTATTGACATAGTGTCTAAAAAACAAGAATAAGCTTAAAGCTTATATATATATAGTTATATCTCTCATATGTAGATTCTGTTGAAAATGATTGTTCACAAATACCTGAAAATCAACAAGCACATGTAATATTGTAGGATGTACATAAAAGCTGCTAGGACCCACGACCCACCAGGAAGTCCACTATTTTGATTTTGGCGCCTTTTTCACATTTCCAGTTGCTTTACTTTAAAAAATCGAAGAAATGTAATAAGACCATCTTGATCTAAAGATCTTTACTTTGGCCAATTTAATGAAGTACGTGTTACTGGCAGGTTTTCATGTTTTCCCATGAACCCTTTCATAAGATTCACATATATCTTCATGTTTATTCTAATATCTCTCAGCACTTTTATATAAATATTCACTTTCTGTATCAGGGTTGCTCGCCAAGCCACCAAGACAAATTTGTTGTTTGTGTATAACCTGATAGATGTTTACACCCATTGGTGTTTGTTGGCATTTCCTGTTGGCACCCCAAGTGTTGTGTTATATAGTTATATATAGTATATAGTGTTATATAGTACTCTTGGTTGTATGTCTGGAGGTTTTACAGATTCATGTCACATACATTTAGCCTCACATATCCAACACAAGTTGCTATACCAACAACTTGCGTTTTAGTTAATATTGGATGGCAGGGTGAGAGAAAAAGTGTCACGGTAGATGCTACCTCAAAAAAAAAAGTCTTGTTCAATTAATCAAACCTGTTGTGGTGGGCACACAAATAAATCATTAATATGCAGGCAAAGCTGACATCAATAAAATCTAACAGCCTTAATGAGGGAGGGGAAGGAAAAAAATGAGATATGAGCAGATGTTCAAAATGAAAACCTCATCAACAATGGTTATGTAAAAAATACTGTTCAGGGGCTGAGACACCGGGTGGCGCTGTTGAACTGGAGAAAGATGCAGAAAGTTGTGGGGAGCATGTGAGATGTATCAAGTGCCTGTGTGAAATGCAGAAAGGGGAACAGAGGAGAGATACAGCGAGAGCGTGAAGGCCGAAAGATATACAAGAGAAAAGCAACCCGGAGAAGTAAAGAAAGATAGAGCTGGATGGGCAGAGGAGGGTGGAGGGGTAAGCGCTCATTTTCTCAGGTTTTGAGAAACTGCCACGGAGAGAAGGGTTAAAGACAGAAATGGGTGGAGGGTATATGTGGCACAAACATCATATCAGTTTTCCCGCTGTGTTAATTACACCCATTATTGGCCGCTAGTTTCTGGGTCAGATGAGCTTTCTCTCTCGACAACAACCTTGGAGGAAAGATTAGTGAAAATTACACAAGAATACCTAAGACCTCGCTGTGGAAGGCCTGGTCTTGTTTACCGGTAATTGTGAAAAAGCAATACAGCGCCCTGCAAAAATGTGTTTACCTCTCAACCTCTCCCCGAGGGCCGCGTGGCGAGCGTTGCATTTGTTTAGGTTCCCAGGTGCTCTGTCCTATTTGCCCCCCCGCCATCTTTTCTTCCCCCTTGTGCTTCATGCGTTCACCCTGAGAGCCTAATGAAAATGCACTCTGTGCATTACAGTGGCACCGTGAAACCATTTAATCACCAGAGGAGAGAGGTGTCGTGGCTTTCAAGTAAGTGTGTGAGTGTGCAAAGTCTTACCTGCTTCTGTGAACGCGCCCCCAACCAAAAAAAAGTGCAGCAGAGTCAGCCTGCGTGCTCTGGCTTTTGATGAGAGGATATCTGAAGACTAACAGCTTGTCAGCTGCATGTACCAGTTTGCTCGGTGGTCTGTTCAGCCTGCAATGTTCTGCTAGGTGACAACAACTTCTGAGAGAGTGATGTAACTCCAAGAGGAGGAGGGAGGGGGGCGTGTGTGAGGGGGGGAGGGATCCGCAGACAGATCAGCACAGTGGGGGTAGATCTTGTGACAGATCAGCTTGTCGTCAAATTGGTGAGACTCGCTCCTAGGGCGGGGTGGGAGTTGCTTCTTAAAGCCAGACGTGGAATGATGCAGCAAATCTGTAATGACTGCAACACACACTCGCGAGCATGAATCATTTATTTATGGCTGCATAAATCAGGCAGCGCGGCGAGATAAACAGTAAAGACGAGTCTGCGAGATCTGTCAGTTACATGATGCGACGGATAAAAACACACACGCACACACACAAAAAAAAAAATCAAGGGTAACACAGACGAATCAGCCAGCGACAGCTGACACACACCAGCCTGTTGTGTGTCTGTGTCTGTTTTTTATTCTTTAACTGAGAGCTTCTCTTTTGTGATGGATTAATCATCTGGAAGCTCCTCACCTGGCCTCCAGTGAAGAATTTTAAAATCTCCTGTAAAATGTTGTGCGTGGGAAGGAAGTGGCAATTACCTGAAACTGCAGGTTTCCAGGTCCTTTTTAACTGGAGGAAGGCGTTCCTGGGTTTCACTTAGAGCGTTTCCAACAAATGTGTCGCTTTGAAACGGATCTAAACGTAAACACTGGAGCTGTTTAGTGGCTATCGCTGAACGCTGACAGAGAGACGTGCCTATAAAGGAACACAGGAGCCTATAGGGAGCTAAAGCCTCACGCTTTCTTGTTGTGTATGCCTGCACTCTTTTGTCCATTATACAGTATTTTGCTGAATAGTTGTGCTTTCACTTAAAGTTGACCTTCAGCTCATTCAAGCTGATAGAGCGGGCGCATGCAGCATATTTCTTCAACTGCACTGCAGTAAGATCAAACAAAACACTTATGATGGTGGAAAATCAAAAGATTTCAAAAGAACTGTAACTGTGCAGGAGATACACATATAAAAGACTTTTTCTTATTAAAGCTGGTGAAAGCCTCCATAAATCTATGCAATATATCAATGTAAAACAATATGTAGCGTAGTCTTTATAAACAGCATCCGATCTTTTCTATGTAGAAGAGTTCAATTTTGTAATTCATTGAAAGCAGCAAGCAGGAGCAAGAGAAGTAAACCATGAATGCTTTGAATGGTGGTAGAAGATTCTAGAGTATCATCATCATCATCATCATCATCATCATCATCATCATCAACTTTATTTATAAAGCACTTTAAAACAACCACAGCTGACACAAAGTGCTGTACACTGGAACTGTAAAATAAAATTACATGAGATATAAATAAAAAAAATGTCATAGCTAGACGGTCTTCACCGATCATCTTGCCAATTTGTTGTGGTGTTTGTGTGTACTGTGTCGTGTTCTCCTCTCCATCCTGTGCATGTGTTTGTCTGCTGGAACATGTACTTCCGGAAGCCGTGGCACGGAACGGCAGTTGACCGGAGGGGAGTGTCCTGAGCTAGAATCATCGCACCTGTGCGGAATTACCTTGCCAGGGCAGACCTATTTAACGGGGCGGTTGAGTTACAACCAACGCTGGAACGTTGAACTAAACCGGGTAGCGTAGTCGTGATTAGCATACCCGGTTTGTGAAGGAGAGGACGTTTTTGTTATTGAGCGTGTGTTTTTTCTCATCTGCCTCCAGGGTCCAGGGATCGGAGGAGGAGCCGGCACCAGGAGTTGTGGATTATTACTGCACTGTCACCGGGAGGAGAGGTCGCCGTATCACTGCACTGCCCTTTTGGATTATAGACTCAAACTGTTAACTCACCTTTTTCACTGTAAATAAATCCACTGTCATTCTGCAAGGAGTCTCGCACCTGAGTCCTTTAATCCAATTCACCATGACAGAACGTTCCAGCCAAGTGGACTCAGCGGACTCTGCACCTTGGCGGCGCGAGCTGTCGCTTCAGGCGGCGCTACTAGAACGCCATGAGAACATGTTACGCCATTTCTCCAAGGAGCAATCAGCGCTAATCCAAGTTGTGACCGAGCTAAAAGGTATGTTGCTATCTCCACCTGGAGCTGCTGGGGGGCCTTTACCAGTCCCACCTTCGATCAATGTCGCTGCTGCTTGCCCACTGCCTCCCTCCCCTCCTCTGCCACGGCGCGAACATTTGTTGCCAGTCCCAGAAAAATTTTCCGGAGATTTGGACAAGAGTAGGGGATTTTTAATGCAGTGTGCCCTCACGTTTAGGCAGCAGCCTCAGGCTTACGCCACTGATTGTTCTAAAATCACCTTGATGGTGGAGCTGTTAACAGGTCGAGCCTTGCAGTGGGCACAAGCGGTCCTAAACTCCCAGCCTCAGATTTCCTACCCTGATTTTTTGAGCAAATTTCGAAGTGTTTTTGATAAAGGAACTAACCCTGACAGTGCGGCACATAGGATGTTTGTTTTAAAACAGGGCCGGAGGAGTGTCGCTGACCTTTCGGTGAATTTCTGGATTCTCGCTGAGGAGACTGGTTGGGAGGAAACGGCGCTCTGGGGAGCTTTCTTGAACAGTCTGAACGAGGGACTGAAGCGTGAGTTGGCTTCCAAAGAATTGCCTAAGACCTTGAGTGCATTGATTAATTTATGTATTAAGTTGGACGATCACCTTCGGGAGTTCAGTAAGCGGACACCGGGAGGCGCTGGGTGGCGGACTGGATTACCGGCCCTGGAGTGGAAGGGGACGGACCCGCGGTCAGCGGAGGAGGAGGAGCAGCCGATGCAGTTAGGCGGAGCACGGTTGAGCTCCACAGATTGGAGGAAGAGACGCCAGACGGGTGAGTGTTTTGCATGTGGAAAGAAGGGACATTTTGCTGACGCATGCCCCTCTTGGGGAAACGACCAGGCCCGTCAGTAGCTGTGGGAGTACTGACGGGTGCGACCATGAACATTGCTCCCCATCTGAGTTGTTCTGCTAAGTTGATTTTTCAATCTCACACTCACCAGTGCCGTGCGTTAGTGGACTCTGGAGCTGAACAAAATTTTTTGGATGAATCGCTTGCTAGGCAGTTGGGCTTCCCCGCGGTTCCTCTCCAGGAGCCTCTTCAGGTTTCAGCTCTTAACGGCAGCCCGTTAGCGGCAATAACCCATCGCACTGTCGATCTGACTTTAGTTCTTTCTGGTAACCATGTTGAGAGAGTTTCCCTGTTTCTGTTTAAAGCCCCCGGCACCCCATTAGTCTTGGGGTTCCCATGGCTCAGACAGCACAATCCGCAGATCGACTGGGCTCAGGGACGCGTGACAGGCTGGAGTGAGTGGTGCCATGAACATTGTTTACGTGCAGCGGTGCCCAGTCTAGTGCCCCTAAATCCGGCGGCTCAGGCGAAGACACCCGATCTCTCAGCCGTTCCTCCGGAGTACCACGACCTGGCTCAAGTCTTCAGCAAAGACCTAGCAGTGTCTCTCCCGCCTCATCGCCCTTATGATTGCGGGATAGATCTGCACCCTGGCGCCCCATTACCCACCAGCCGGCTTTACAGCATCTCAAAGCCTGAACGTGAGACGATGGAGCGTTGCATTACAGACTCTCTCGCTGCCGGCCTAATTCGCCCATCTACATCCCCTCTTGGGGCCGGATTCTTCTTTGTACAGAAGAAGGACAGGTCTCTCCGCCCCTGTATTGATTTTCGGGGCCTGAACAAGATCACCGT